AAGGAAATTATGGTGAGAGAAGTGCCATTGACAAAAAATTGCCCTTGACATGGGAAAAACCCAGTACAAAACTGATGCACACGCCGCCGTCCTGCAAGCATGCACACGCCGGCCGCCGCCGGCCGCGCGCACACAAATATACACTCAAGCACACGCACTTTCCGCATAGTATATTATAGTATATTATAGTATAATGTAATATATTATGGTATATTATCATATATTACAGTATACAGTAGTATATTATAATATATTATAGCATTGCTTTTCCGTTGCACACTTTGGAAGCGCTGGGGGCGGGACCGGGGCTGCGGCTTAGTTTTTAGTCAACCCGAGGGAGTCTTGGGAGGGGGGTCCCGTAGATCTTGGGTTTTAGGGGGTTATATTGGGGTTATATAGGGATAATGGAAAAGAAAATGGAAACTACTGTAGTATAATGGGTATATCTCCTGGGAAGCAGGCTGGGCCCCTCAAATAGCAAGAAGTTGCATCTTTCTTTATCTTGTTTTGATTTTGGGTGGCTTCTATGATGAAGCCTGATTCGCCGAAGATCCATGATGGACCCATGGATTAGCGATCCTTTGGCAGCTTAACCCAATTTCCGTTGTTTTTGACGCTTGCAGCCCCACCATGATGCTATTCGACTTTGGCAGATGACTGTACTCTTTTGTTACATACCTCATTTACACGCCGTCCTGCACGCATACACACGCCGCCGGAGCGCACGCATACTTACACTTAAAAACGTTCACTTTCCGCATCGCCTGTTTGTTGAAGTGCTGGGACGCTAAAATGCGATACATATCCCAACAAGACTCTCAAAGTACGTGCTGTGGGCAATGTTTGTGGCTGTGAAGACCAGTATTGTTCGCACTGGCACTGCATGACAAGCATGTGAGAGGTTTTGCACGCACTGCTCAGACCAAACCCTATAAACTATGCATGTTGCTTGATGTGTTTCGCCCATAGCTCCGGCACTTTTGCGGCCCCTGAGCTATGTTGCACCACTTTAGCTTAGCAAATACGTTAAAATGTTGCCTCTGATTTGCAAGAACATGTACATTTGCAGCGGCACGGGGCAGGGGGGCAGCCTGCGCAGAGAACCACGCTCAAGGCCGTTTTTGAAGGCCTTTCTTGGTCTTCTAACCGCTCCTGGTGCCAATTAAGCCAAAATAGGGTTCCAATTGTGCTGATGATGCTTGCGTACGGGCGCGCACCCCGTACAGGAGCATCATCAGCACCATTGGCACACCGTTGCGGGGCGAGTTAAATTAAGCTAGAGTGAACAAGTTTTTTTCATCCAAAAAAACATCCCAGGTACAAGAACATCATTTTTTCCTACACTTCTCCCGATCGCATCAGCAGTGCTGGGATGGGCTTGGCTTTCGCGTGATCGCTGTGTGGGCGGGGTGGGCGGCCAGGCCGGCACTTGACGCAAAATACAAACAAGGACCCATGATGACGGGTTCGGACCATGCGGGATGTCTGGCCTGGCATAGGCCTGGCTGTTGCTAGGTGAATTTGACAACAGCATGCACCGATTTGCAGGAAATCTTGGGGCGGACATCCAAAGCAGATTCAATAGCGGCTACTTTAGAGGCAAGCTGAGTGTAACTAGTTTGGCGCAATAAAACCGGGCAACCAAGCAACACGCAGGCTGGTGTTGAAAGCTTCTCAACATCCAAACAGCAACTCCTGCCGTCCCTATGTACAAACGGAGAGCCTGGCTAGGCGCCATCCTGCGCAGTCGCCCCATCTACATTTGGCCAGGTCACCAGGAGCTTGTGCAAAGCATGCGCCCCACGGAAGACGGCCGTCGTTGAGATGCATCTGCTTCTTCTGTACCTACGCCAAACAGGTCTTGCATCCTACTTGTTGCCACAAACACATACAAACGCTCAGCATCTTGCCTGCAATCCACAAGCAGTCAGCGTAGAAGTCCCCATGTGGTGCCAAGAGCTGAACGACTTCCTCTGCCAATTGTACGTCGCTGCTGGCAACTTCAAGAAGCCTGCCAAACGGATGGGTGGTGCCTCAATTGATGTCTTACACGCTAAGTGCCACCATTCATGTCTCCATTCCAATCATTTCCGGACAGTGTGACTGCGTCAAAAAACCTACTGCGCAAACAACATCATTGCAAACTTTACAGTAGGCGCGACCAAGGAATAGTCTGCATGATGCATGAGGGGTGTTGATAAGCTTGCCTGGGCCTAGTCCTCTTTAAGGGCCGAGCTTCCTTAAACCTCTAATGAGAGAATGTGCCCATGGGCATCAGGGCTGCAACACGGTTCCAAGCCCCAAGTTGAGGTCTGCCGCATTTGAGGCGCCTCTCCAGATCAGGGCTTGTGATGTCTTGGTCCCTCTCCACATGGAAGGCAGGGGCGGCCCCCAGAAATGTCCAAAAGCGTTTCCAGGTCTCTTCACTTTCCTTGGGTCGTCAAGGCTTGCCAGAGGAGACGATGCAGCATGCCCATGCTGCGTGCTGTGGCCAAGTCTCGCTTTCGGCCTGGCTCTCTTGTTGAAAGTAATATGTGTCAGCAGGAGTCAGCCACTCGAACCCACCACCCTCAGCGGCAGCATCGGGTGTAGCCCACACAAACCCAGGTTTCGCAGCATCACTGCATGCATTTGCAGAGCTAAAAATTCTCATCATGACTTGCGTGCATAAGGAACCTCCCCAATCAGGGACGACGCCAAAGACTCGGAGAGAGGTGCCAAGTGCAAGCCCTTTCTGGATTGCCCGCTCACCTTGCACAAAAGCATGGGAACCTCACATCCACATTCGGGATGAAGTTTCGTTCAGAATCTCAGCAGCTCTGCCTTCACAGTCTGAGGCTCGTCCTTGCCCGAGGATGCCATTACCTCAGGCTCCGAGCCTCTACTTGTCGAATGACTCGATATGAAGGTGTCTATCACTAGAAAAAGAAGGGCCCACCCCGCGACGTGACTGCCATTGCTGCTCAACCACCCACCATCCCGTCTCGATAACTCGTGCTGCCATTTTCTCCTGGCAGGCTACTGCGCGCGGCTCAGGACGAGGCCAACCACAAACACTTCATCTAGTCCTTCAAGTCAGCATCCTCGCAAATGGCCAACAGTTGCTTGAACATCCTGAGCGACTGCATCCCAACTCTCAACGCAATTGTTGGACAATTGCTTGAGCATGTGAGGCATCAGAAGTTCGACGCGGAAAAACGATGCTGATTTCAAACCAAGTGGTATGGCGTGGTCTCGGTCTGAGCATGATTAAGTTACATACGCAAATGCAGCTCTCAAAATGCGCACATCCGTGGTCCTTTTGATCGCCTGCTTTCCTTACTTGGGCTCTCTCGACAGTCGTCAAGGGCCCCGCTGCAGTGGTTTGGGTTTCTCCCTGACTGAATCGCCAAACTTCAAAATCTTCTAGTATTCTACCAAATTGAACTCGGCAAAGAGCCACCGTATAAAACAAACAGCAGCGGCCAACATCGGCAAACACAATCGATGCAGGGTCCTCGTCACGGCCACCAGCCGATTCACATCCGGAGGTTGACCTGTCTTGTCAGGCCCTAGTGCAATGCTTGAGCCCATGAAGTGCCACACTTTCAGTGGTGCCTTGTGTAAAGATTGGAAGCAGCACGTTCTCAAAAAACTCCCAGCCATTTATGGTCTCAACACCCAGCCGCTCCAACAGCTGCTGCACCTCCACCGTCGCAAGAAGCCAACTCCAGCAAATTTTAGGAAGGGACTTCCCTGCTAAGGCATTTCAGGCGTGAGCGTGCCTTTGGCTGAGCACGGACCAAACGCGGATCAAGCCGCTGCCCTTCTCCCAAGATTGCTTCCAAGCCCGCTATGTCATCCGGAATATCATACACCTTGCGACCCATGGCCTGGAAATGCGGTTCTGGTGCACTGCAGTGCGCATAAGTTCACAACCGAAAGACCGGCCTCCTGCTCCGCCAAGGACACAAGACCAGCCTCAGTAGGCACCACGGCCAGATTCCGCACCTCCTCCTTGTACAACTCCGCTTTGGCCTTTCAAAGACTTTGTGCGAAAACAGCCAAAGCACAGCCGCCCAGCCTCAAGTATCAAAAGGAGAAGCTGTAACGTCTCAACCTCCTCAGTCTTCCCCAGCGCTGTGGCAATGCAAAACAAAAATCTTCTGTTCAAGGGCCACGCTGCATCCGACAAAACCTTCGGTGACTGGGTCTCATCTCTCTGCGCGCCACGTCGGGCAAGCGCCTGCTCATATGCACTACGACTGCATGCTTGTTGAGTCAACCATTTCGGGCTATTTCGAGCTGCTTGCCTTCAAGCAGTCCAAGGCAACATCAGCACCCAACACCTGCTCTTGCATGGGAGAGCATGGTGTTCAAGATTTCAGGGCAGTGGGAGCAAAAGCTTTGAACTTATCCCAACGACCCTACCGCGGGCAAGTCGCTGGCACTCCCAGTGCTTCTGCCACACGAGCTGGAAGCTGTCCGACTTCCAAGTAGTGCCCAGCCTCCAGCTGCGGAAACAAAATTAAAAGATGCTAACACATGCAGGCGCGTGACCTCAGCAAGAAGCGGCTCCAGTGCTGGAAGATGATCTGACAAAGCTGCCTGTACCAGTGAGCGACCAAAAGGAGGGTGCATAACCACTTCACAATGCACCAAGATGACTACTCTGACCATACCACGATACGTCCTGCTGACCAAGCAGCTGGGATGCCCTCAGGCAAGCTCTCGCGAACTGCGTGCCGTGCTGTGGACAGCGCCAGTTGAAAGCAGCGTTGGTCCTGGCGTCTCTTGGAAAAGCTGCTGCGGCCAATCAAAATGACATGGTCGTGTGGGGCGGGTCGCCTGCTGCGCCCCATCCGTCACAATAGGACCTCACGATTGTCCATGCACTACTGCGCAACAGCATCCGGAGAATGAATGCAATCATGCCAGGCCTGGACAAGGCACCCTGACCAAGATGAGCTGCACGTCCCGCAGTGCGCGTAGGATACCCGCATCAGTGCCCTGAAAGAAATTCACTGCATCACCTGTGGATGCAAGCAAGCCCAGCGCAAAGAAGTTAAGAGTAGTCCAAAGTGACTGCCTTTGCGGGGGACTGCAGTGTAGAGTGGTGTGAGCATAGTCGCCGATGCATCCAAAGCTGCTGCAAGCTGCGGCCAGGGCATGCCTGGACTCCCCAAACCTGCACAAAGTTGAGTTGTCCGTAAGGTTGACGTGATACTCTGCCTCCGACCTAGGTCTTCCGTGAAGCTTCGCAATGTGGTGCCATTTTCCTCTGCCGCTGCAGATGCCAGCTTTGTGAACGTCTTGGCGGCTTCAACGAAAGCTGCTGGCACTTGCTCTCGAATCTGCCTGGGACCCGTGAGAAAGGAAGCGACAAAAAAGGACTGCAAATCAGAAGAATCTGGGGGCGCCCTAGTTTCGGCTGAGCATCTGATTGAAGACGTTGTCTGTAATGGCCTCCCGAGATGACGGCACTTGCCAGTCGGCCTCAGCATAAAGGCATCCGTATACAGCATCTCAAGTGCTTCTTGTATCATTTTTGGAGGGCCTGGATGATAAAGCGAAGCCCGTAGGATTGCAAAGGAAGCCAAGCGTAGACTTTCTCTGAACTGCCTGAAGGACTGCTCAAGTAGTGAGGCTGCAAGCCGTCACATGCAGACATTTGAGGCAGCACCCGAACCTGCTGCATCATCCAGTCGGAATGCCAACTTCCTTGGCCAGCCGCCCAACCCAACAACTTGTGGACGCCCCAGTCACATGAGAGCTGTCCCTAGCCAGCTGGAGCAACTTGGAGATGAAACACAAACGAGGCACAACTCCGTAACCAGCGACTCGGACTGCACCTGCAGTTGCAAGCTCCTTGTCTGAACCAGCCACCTCTGCTCCTCGGACTGCGTTGCCTGATCACATGAAGCCATTCGGGGGTACATCAGGGAAAACAGTTACAACAGGGTTGTCCTGAACAAATTTGGTTACCTCAACAGCCCGCAAATTTTGCAGAGTGGCACGTCTGGACAAAAAAACTCACCACTGCAAGCGGGGGATGTGTCAGGCTGAGGTGCACCAGATGTTGTCGTGTCAACTTTCAACTTGATCTCCTGCTCAAGCGCTTCCGGAACAAACTGGCCCACACAAGAAAGAGGAGCAAAACACAGGATCAAGACTTCAGAGCCAAGCATGCCTCTGCTTGGCCTCTTGAAGGCAGGATCTCTTTGAAGATGCTACGACTCAAGTCACGCTCTCCGTCAACGACCTCGCAGCCGGAAACTGGCACTTGCAACTTCGTCCAGGGAAGGCACGTGGCCTTCAGCAAATCCGGCCTCCACTCGAGCTAGCTTGCGGAGGAACAAGAGCAATGTCGGCTGCACGTCTCTAAGAGCTCTCTGGCCAACGTCTGAAGCACGTAGCCCCCGTTTTTTCAGAGGCCCTACCAGGCAGAGGGGACCCTCACAATACTCACAGGTCGGCATATGATTGGCAATTGCAACCCCTGCCTTGCGTGCTGCTCAAAGGCAGCACAAGGCGTGTGCCGGGAGGCGGTGTGGCAGCTGGCTTCAAAGGAAAAGGCAGCAGCGAGCCTAGCCCCTGCCTCGGCCAAGAGCGTGGAGGCATCGAAGAATGAAACCACAGGACTTTAGTTTTAGGCTGAGGGCCAAGAAATGTCTGGCTGAACTGGCCCAAGCTGCAGCGCGTCAGCATCGAAATGGAAATGGAAGTTGCGCGAATGCAGGACCGGAGTTGCCGTGACCAAAAACACCTCATCCCATCCCAGCAATGTATGCATGAGACTGTGCTGACCTCTTCAAGCAGGCAAGCAAGCAAGGAAGTAATCCAGGATAATCACGTTGTTTTGTTGTTTCTTGTTCTTCTTCTGCCTCCCTCCCTCTTTCCCTCCCTCTTTCTGCTTCTAAGGCTCTGCGCACCCTAGCGGCTGAGCCCTCACGGCACTCTTGGGGCCAAAGCCCCGCACCCTGCATGATTTCCTAGTCTGGTCGGCGACTCCAGAGCGACTCACTCGGCAAGCCCAAGACGTAATGCGTCCTCCAGTGGCCAAGCCGACCCTGATTTGGTCCGCTTGCATTCTTCTCTCTGGAGCTGTGACACTCATGCATCCCTAGGGCCAACACCTTCCACAACATAAAACGGAATCAGACCCTATCCCCCTGACTAGGTCAGGCATTCCCTATGCCCTGGTGGCCTCGGCGTCCTTGCCCGTTCCCGGCACTGCTACCCTTGGACACCGCAAATCTGACACAAAGGTGCTGGCCGCCCCGTATTCTCAGCTGGCATGTCTCCTCTGCTGCATTTTCGGGCGGGAGAATCCACATCTTCGGGGCTCTCTCTCTCTCCCTCCCTCTCTTTCTCTTCTTCTTCTCACTGCTGTACCCCCCTCTCTCTTTCTCTCTCTGGCCGCAGATTGCCTGTACAAGCCTGACGGGGTGTGTGATGTGCCTGTCAACGACCTAGTGGCCTGCTGCCGCCAACGCGCTTGAACACCGCAAGCAAGCTTACTAGCAAGTTTACGCGCGCCATTGCCACTGCTTAACGTCCAAAAAGTTGTACCGGCCCCTATGACTGGGCTTCTGGACCCCAAGTTTCCTGTTGTGGTTCAACCAATAATGACCTAACAAATGCAGCGGAGACACTGACTTGAAGCCGATTCCCTTGGCTCCGATGAACTTTTTCTCAGCCAATTGCTTCGTGGATTTGTTCACGTCGCAAATGGCCACCACGTTCTTCTCCTGTGCAATTTGGCGGCACGTGGCCATGGCAACACTGTCCATAAATTTGGTTTCCATGGTTTTGCACCTGCGATGTGTGAATTCGGTATCTAGAATCTTGAACAAGTACCGCCTCAAAGCCCAGCTCATTGTGCTCCAGCACCAGAAAGGCTTCCACATCATCTCCGGCATTAAAGCTTGTGACGTCGCTGAAGTTCTTCCTCCTGCGCAGTGGAAAAGCTTCAGCTCACCTCAACATGACTGATCCAACCACGTTGCAAGCGCCTTGTTGCATATGTCACCTTCAGAGTCGGCGTTTCACCTGGTCTGATTTCAGAAACTTTCATCTTGCTACAAAACAAAACGAACAGCCAACACCCCACGTCCTTCCAAAAAATTGAAAAGGTCAGTGATTGGGCAAGTGAGAAAGGTGCAACGTAAACATGCGTAAGACCAAACCATGCCCATGGAGCAAAAGCCAACCGGGAGCTACACGAAGTCCTGGCTGCGTGATCCTACGTGTACGCCCAACCCCTTCCTGGCCCCAAACCAGGACACCAGGACGCCTGCCGTGCTGGAAAACAACAGACGCGACGACTATAAAGTAAAACACACATGTTGAGTTGTGGTGGTGCCCCGCCGCCTTGCAAGGACAGCTGAGCGTCTGCGGTCCAGCGCATTGCAATGCTGGGTGACATTGGGTAAAGCGCAAGCTTGCATCAAAACAGCCCCATCTTTGGCTGCCACGACTGGGGAGTGCCCCGCCGTGCTAGATGGCACCATGCAGTTCACAGTGATCTAATGAGAGCAGGAGAAAAATTAGTGACCGTAATGTAATGACATCAAGGACCACTACAATAATGGCCAAACAACCAAAATCACATATGATGACGTATTCACTCACCGCGGCGATGTCGCCTCCAACTTGCAAACTTGCGCTTTTCGTCATAAAAGCGGGCTTGCAACGCTGACCCCTGTCGTGCAACCGGCTTTGATGTCGAGGGTCTCTCTTGTGCAGTAAGTACATACTGACCACACACTTTGCGGCTCACACGCCGCGTTTTCATGACACAGTCTTTTCGGACAATTGTCTAGGTTGTCCTTTGTGTCCCGGGACAGCGAAAAGTACATAGGGATGCTTTTCCACTGATTTACAAGTGTCCTGCTTTCTTTGGCGGGTGGGAAACGAAATGGGGAAGGCCGCATGCTTGCATCAGTCGGCTTGGCACGGGCTTTATACATTGGTCCACCATAAAACATTACGGATGAGTAGCGTGGACCAGGCTTTGCTGTGGCATACACATCAGCAAGCTTGGTACCATGAACTCGGATCACTTGTGCCGCATGGATCAGGTCCACGGTGACAATGGGCTGCCGGTGGCTTGCAGCATCAAACCATTGTCCCACTGAGTCAGACGTGAACACTGAAGCACAACCAACAACACATGAGCAGCGTTCGAAGCTTGTCCCCAGGCCCATGATGGAGAGTCCCATGCTTGTTCATCAATCTCGTTCTCTCTGGTTCTTCATACTGCCGAGCTTGTCGGAGGGAACCTTCTCGTTTTACTCGGCTTGGGCTTGACAACCTTACCTCATACTATCTCGTTTTGCAGCGCGTTAGTTGGGCATTGAATCTTGTTTTCCAACACGTGGGCGGCGGAGAACATAAAAACGTATTGAACCACTGGTGGCGTCATCTGATATTATTTGGAGAGGACCCTCTCGTTGAGACCCAACACAGCATGTCATGCTTCTAAAACCGGCCTGCAGAAATTGAAGCGCCTGCATTCCAGAAATTGTGCAAGAAAACCAAGGGCTGTCAACAGACACTGGCATGACATGGGGGTGCAGATCGAAACACTTTAATAAAGTGCCCAAGTGCCCACGCTTGGCTCCTGTTCAGCCCCCCCATGCACTCCTATTTAAAACGCTTGGGGGTGTCCTACGCAAGCAGCAATGTATACAGGGCGCTTTTCGACTGATGGTTTTCGATTAAGTTTCGCGAGAAAACATACGCAAACTCTGCTGAACCCATGCTAAGTGCTTCCAAAACGTGACTGCATGAGTCGGCACGGCTGTGGAATCGCTGTAGGAGGAGCCGAGGGACCCTCGGGATAGGTGCAGTCATCGCAGTTCTGGAGAAGCTCCAGCGAAAAATGAGCCTCAGCATTTGTGCGAGCCTACAATCCAACTCAAAGGCTAGAGTATGCTAGAGCATGCTAGACTCCGTCGCTGAGTGTCACGCCTCTCCACTGTAGAGATCCTCTGACAGCCGCTTTACCGCTCCCTGAACTGTCTGCTGCAGAGATCGAACTCCAGGGTCTTCAGGTTCCTTGATCCACTTTCGTGTCTCCAGGTTGACGTAGTCGTAGTCTACTTTCCTTTCAAGGTCTTATGCGCAAGGAACGGTTGGATAAGTGAACCTCTACGTCAAGATTTTTGCCAGCCGGGCAGCTTCAAGGCAGCTATTCTTCTGCAGACTTCCTGCAGCATGAACGACAGTAACGACAGGGCACGTCTTCACGAATCGGCTAATGACTCGGCAGACGCATGATCCGGGACACGTCCTCGTTTTGTGGGTCATCCTCCTTTACCGTTTGTGAGTCTACCAAGGGCTCCGAGAAGCTGACAGGCTCTTTGCTTGTCGTCTTCGAGCCATCCGAGAGGGCAGAAACGTCCTGCCAGAGCTTGGGATTCGAGGCAAAACATGAGCTTATCTCCATCCGGTCTGAAGCCGAATGTGCAGGCTTGCCCCTGCAATCACGAAAGTAAACTCCCTACAAGATCACACATCGTCCCCAACCCTGCCAGTTGAGATCAATTTCATGGCTCCCCCGCAGAACCTGATGCTTCACCGCGGCGGCAACGTCTTCTGCAGCAAGGCTCTGGACAGCGGCACTGCTTGTTGTGACGGTTGGCCTGGATAAGTCAATCCATTCCTTAACCCCAAACTGGAGCCCCATCAGCTTGAGGGCAGACCGCAAGCAGGGAAGCCCCTCATAGACGGGGTCAAAAACCGTGGCTAGCAGTGCCGAAGTTGGGCGCTCTAGGCGCAAGTACCCGGAAGCGAGAATTTGGACCGCTTCCTTCAGAACATCCAGGGCACCCTGTGGGAGTGCGGCAACAGCCGTCAATAAAAATCGCTCTGACTCGTCCTGCTTGAAGGCACCATAGCTTTTGGAGACTTGGTCTTTCATGAGCAAGGCAGCAGCATTGCCCTCACGCAGCAAGCGAGCCAGCACGATCGCCGACACAGTCCGGCCATCTACTGCTTGGAGGGCTTCGGCAAGCCTCTCTGTTGAGCAGTCTTCGGCTCGAGGCAAACGAACGAAGACCCCATGTCGCACCTCCAAAACACAGAGCTCTGCACCTCTCCTCCTGGCTCTGGTGTTGAACTCGGGGGAGCGCACGAAAGAACACACGTCTGTGGCCAAAGCCCCGAAGTCCGTTTCCCACTCTGGCAAGGCCTCTGCCAAATCAAAAAGCATCGGGCTTGACAGTACTGCGTCAGCGGCGGCTTCCAACAGCTCGTCCCTTTCCTCGCTCGTTGCCGCTGGCTTGGGTGTAGGCAGCGATGTAGAAGAGCACCCCAGTTGGATCATGATATCACTTGATGTGTCTAAAGTTCCGGGCCCCACCCCTGCGACACTGATCCTCTTGAAAATTGTCTGGAGTTCGCCATCAGTCCTCAGGGTGACTTGTTGTCACGCCGTAGCCAGGCGAGATGCGCACAACATCTGCAGCCAAGATGCAACACCCCGGCATATTGCTGTCGTAGCGCATGCACTACGGGACCACAAGCCTGCCATCATAACACATCCTCCTGCATCGGTGCACATGGATCCGGCGTCATCTCATTGCGTTTGAGCGGCATCTGCGACATCCCCGGGCCAGCCTGCCAGAATTTTGCGGCCCAGGTCCTCAGCTGCGGAAACTTTTCATCGTGCAAACAAAGTTCCTGAGTTCAGCCCAGTTGCCTCCGACTGATTGACTGCTTGCCAAAAACAAGGTATCACGCACACGTCATGGGTTCATGACCTACAGCCCTGTTCTCTTCTCTTGCAGGGTGCCGGGAGCTTTGCTTCTCATAGCTGCGGATATCCGAGCAATTCGGTACAACAGCCCGGTTTGATTGCGGCTACCCTGCGTGATCCTGCGTGAGTCGTGAGTGAGTCAGTGATTGAGTGAGTGAGTGAGTGAGTGAGCTAGCCTCGTGTTAGAGACATATGCCAAGGGTGCAAGGTTTGCGCATCCGGAGAAGCATGCAACTACTGCGCAACAAGCAAACAAAAGTGTCGAGCCCTGCATTTCCGCCAGCTTGACGATGCAACCTCGGGTGTGGAGGCACAGTAATACCGAAGCTGTTCTTGATGCCCGCGCCCCGCAAGGGCGCGGGCAGGGGATGCCCCGTGGAGGCGCCCACAGATAAAAGTGTATACAGCATTTGAGGCTGGCCGGGATGCGATCGCGCGTTGTCTCAGAGACGTTTGTAGGGCCCAACAGTGGGCCCGCTTTCTGAAAACGGGCAGCAAGGCTGCCGTTGCAGTAGGCCATCTTCGATGGAGAGATGTCGAGCACAGAGCTGCTCTGGCAGCCAAGCTGTGCGACAATGGACCCATGCATCTTAGGTCGCATGTGCGCACAGTGACTGTGGATCACTGGATCTCTGAAGCGAGGTGGTTGTGAACAAAGGGGCAGCCAGTGGGCTGCTGTAGCTTTTGCCGTGGCCCTGATCCTGACAGGCTACATGAATGGTCAGAGACACAAATGCGACGCCCTCATCGCAAGATGCTTTAAGCCCTTGCGTGGCCTAGAATCCAGCACAAGCATCATGATACAGAGCTGCTCCTGCGATTAGCTCATGTGAGGATTGGCATCCTCGAGGACAAATGTCCTCCCTGAGGGATCTCTCGCCTGCTGCCGCTAGCTCGGTTGCGTGCAGATCTATTATTTCTTCTTCTCCACCAGCTTGACAATAGTCAGTAGGGATGGCACGTCTGTCATTTGACAAGATATCGCAAGTATCTTGGGGCATATTGCGGCATATTGGCTACCCTGGCGCAACTTGCTTCACGCGCACCATCAGAACAACAAGGATGCACCACCCCAGGCCTGAAAAGTGCTATCTTCTGCTGCCCTACAACTTCACCCAACGCCAGTCACGCTGAGTGGCACTTTACAGCCAGAGGGCAACACAACAAAGCACAACCTCTAGCAACTAAAGCATTCAGTCTAAGCATTTCGCACACATGGGAGGCAAGCTTGGAGAAAGGGCCGTGTTCATGCCAAACCCAACCGAACCAGCAACACCAACACGGGGCGATCGTTGTGACGCGAACTTACATGTCAGGATCCAGCCCTTTCGAAGCAAAAGGACCCCTGTCTTGCACTGAGACTCTTCTGCTCCTTTCTCCACATCTAGCTTCTCGCGGCTCACCAGGCCGACAGAATCTGCAATGCGGGCGCTGTTCTGCCTCAGAACATCAGGTCTCAGATTTCTGTTGTGACATTTTCCTATAGCTTTTGCTGCGTAGTTGCGCTACCCAGCTCCCAAAACTGGATCCAAGCTCCAGATCTCGCCACCTCCTCTTCTGCTCCTCCCTGCAGCTGTGATCCTCGAACCTTCCTAACCTGGGCTCCAGGTGCCCACAGACAGACGGACAGCAGCATCACGGTAGCTGCTAAGGCAATAACACACTCTCGGACGAGCAGCTTCTCCAACAGCGCTCCAAGGTCAAGATCTGATTCTCTCAGCGATTGGCACAGACTATCCAAAGTACGACTGTGGAGCTTTGATGTCGAATCCTCACCTGCCTTGCAAACAACGTGCGCGGGCAAGCTTAGTCAAACCATGTGAGCATTTCTTGCCCCATCACTTGCCCAGGAGGAACCAAATGAAGCACTGCATATCGGGGGGGGGAAGCGTAGGATGTGTGGCAGGTGAGCTTGCCTAAGAGATGATATGAGATGATTCTGCCGGGTTGTGACTCAAGCATTGTCAAGCTGAAGAGCTGAAGCAACAAAAACACTTCCCTCCTGGTGTGGGCTTTGCACTGCAGGTCCAAATCTAGAAAATGATTTTGTCGTGGCCGCCTGTTCCGCATCCTCAACTTCCTCTCTGAAGCTCAGGTCTGGCCGCTCGCTGCCCTGCATGCCGTCCATTTCTCCAGAGGGTTGTCCTGAAGGAATTGGGATGCATTTGGGCGCCTCGCTTTCAAATCAACAACAGCTCATGTCCTCTTGACTCCGGCGCATGTGCTCTCTGTAGCAGCTCCGAAAACAACCAGCGCACATAGCTTGAAAGGTCAGCAGAATTCCCGACCCGGAAGTCTGACCTTTCCGATGCAATGCCTGGACAACAAGTCTTAACAAGTCGTCGCCAATCCGTCAGACAGAGCTAGGGATCCTGCTGCTGCAAGCATCCGAGCACATCAAAACAATGTTTGTAAGCTGGGAACTTTTGACCAACTCTTGCTGTCTTTCCTTCGTGCTCAACTTTGCCAACCTCTGTGTACGAAGTCACAACAAAATACACAACAATCACAGCGACTCGCATCTTTCATCTGCAACCATAGAGCTCAACCAACAGCTCTTCGTGCTCATCTGGCCGGCTTAGAGCTATCCACTCTGCCAGGTTCTTTGCCACTGTTGTCTGGCCTGAACTGGAGCCGCTACTACGGAAGCGTGAAGGATCACTATCAGCAAATGTGCCAAACTCACACTTGAGTACGTGAGGTACAATCTACCAGTCGCCCTGTAACAAGTGATTCCCCCGACACACATCCCCTTCAGAGCCACTGATAAGTTGTCCGCATCTGTTCAACCTTTACCTGGAAGAACACTAATTAATAACAGTATGAAGGATGAAAGCATTCATGACATCGAAAAGCGTGGGCCTGTGCGCGCATGGCGTGCTAGAATTTTTTGAGCATTGCCCATGCCAGGAATGATCTGTCCGAGGAATGAAGCATCTTGAACAGCAATGCCTGGTACCAATTCCGAAGCACAGAAGTTTTGAGGCAGATGTCAGCACGCTGCTGGAGATAGCGCGCCTAGATGACGAACATCATCGAGCTGATATTTTTCTGCAATCTTCAACAGGCCAGCAGTCACAGATCTGACTCGTGCGTTGGACAATCTCGACCCGCCACCCAACTGTTGCAGTACGTCAGCCGAGAAAAGATGGCGCAGCAACTCAGAGCCGCTGATGGTTGGAAAGCTCGCTGGGATTGCTCCAAGCGAATCCAAGCCAAAGTACCGTCTGACAAGTGGGTGATAGTGCAGTTTACCAATGCAAGCATCTTCAAAGCCATCCTTATTCTTGAACATGGGATGCAGCAAAATAGCCGCCTCCAAATCGAAGATTGTTACGATCGGCTGGCTTGCCAGTGCCACCCGAATGGTAGAGGCAACAAGAAGGAGCGTTTTGCTGTAGCCAGCTAGGATCTCGCCCACGTGAGGATCTTCAAACAACTGCTCCTCTGTCTGAGTGG